AACCGTGATGAGTCTTGTGTGTTCTTCGGAACTAACTTTGGTTTACCCATTTGATAAGCATGCTAGTTTGGTGTTTAAATGCTAGCATGTGTGTTGTTTGTACCTTCCTATTGGTTGATGATAACTTGTTTTATTCATCGTTGTTGTTGTTTCATCGTTGTTGTTGTTGGACTGTGATCCATTCCTTGATTGAGTATGGTTTCATATCTTCGTTGTGATCTGTTGATTGATTCCCGTTGTGGTGTGATGTGTGCGTGGCTTTACCTGGATTGCACGATTAGTGGTATGGGACACTAGTCACCAAGGTATTGCAGTGGTCCTCATGGTGGCCATGACGTGTTTATGGAGTTGTGACATGTGTGTCAGGTTCACGTATTTCTTGGGAGGCATGTGTTGCCGTGTGTGTGTACGGTACCTTCGTGTACTATGAAATTGGTGGTCTCGTTGGCGGTCGTTGGCGGATGGGGAAGACGGTCCTCGGAGGGAAAATGTTGGACTTGGTTGTACAGGGGTCCTGGAGGTAATGGTTGGAAGAAGAAATAATGTTAGGGGTAGCCATAAGGTTGGAACCGGGCATAAGGAAGGCATATCAACTCGTGATGGGTGATGTCACGAGGGCTTGTGTAGCGGTTGTTGTGAGTCCTTCCCTTGTGACGTGTGTTGTCACAAAGACATATGTTGCCTTGACATGTGTTGCCGTGTGTTGTGTCTTTATTCCTTTGAGTTATGCATGTCGGGTATTAATCTATTGTGTGATGATAGATTATACCTTGAGACTTCTTGTGAGTCGTTGTTGTTCCTTGTAGTCTTGGGATGTGTTCCCGTGTTCTTGTTGAGAGTGTTTGAGTCTTCTGTTGACTATTACTCTTGGTTTTTGACTTATATACTTATGTATTCCGTTTCGAAAATGGTTTTACAACCTATATCTTATCTATGTATGTTATTTCACATGTATTGGTGGGTTACCAACATTATTCGCTGACCGGGCATCGTCCCATGTTTTATTGTGTTCTTTCAGGTGATGTCTATGCGAGTGCGCAGTCTAGTACTTGCTAGTGTAGCTTCTCCCGCTTGTTTTATGGCCTGTGTGCCAGTTTAGTTGTAGACCTTTGAGACTATGGATTAGTTGTAAACAATGCAGATATTGCCGTAGCGTTCATCCTTTTTGGTGAACGTGGCATAACACCCCGTGATTTGGATTTATGTTTATCTAGTTATCCTTTAGTCTTCCGCTGTGTTTGTTGTTTAGCTCAGTTATCTGCATGTTTAAGGCTTTTAAATAGCTTCTTTTTAGGGGGTGTTACAAAAACTACCACTACAAAATATCAATAGGCACTTGTAAGATAATGAGTTCATATTACAACTAAGATCATAGTCATATTATACACAATAAGGCAAATCTAAAGCTTCCTACACTATAATCTCATTGCACGATGTATCCCTCTATGCTAGGCAAATTATGCTGTAGAATCGTGTCCACCTTGCAAGGTGGACATGGTTCCAAAACTGTTCATAATTATGAATATATAGTTCAAAAATTATGAACATATAGTTCTATAATTATGAACATAGAGTTGTGAACATAATTATGAACATATAGTTCTATAATTATGAATATAGAGATTCAATAATTGTGAATATGAATTCAAAAATTATGAATATATAATTTTATAATTATGAACATATAATTCAATAATTATGTACGTAGAGTTCTGTAATTGTGAATATAGAGCTCAATAATTATGAATATGAAGTTCAAAAATTATGAATATATAACTTTATAATTATGAACATATAGTTCAGTAATTATGAACATAAAACCGTGTCCACCTTGCAAGGTGGACACGATTCCACAGCATAACGATTGTCTATGCTACCACCAGTAACCCAATTGCACATGACACACTACTAATAAAAAGAAAACAAAAACAAAAAAATAAAAAAGGACATGTACTGAAGATGAAGATAATGATAATGATACGCAAAAGAGAATTAAGAAGAATTATAGAAATTTAAATCAAAAGTAATATTTATTTATGGGTAGGGTATGGTGTGGAAATGTGTAGTAGTATGGGTAATGGCCATGGAAGATAATTTTTAGGGCTTTGGATAACACAAAGGGATAAACAATAGTGCAAGTGGAAACAAGATGCATGGTAAGGTGGAAGTGGGATTATGGGATGATTTTAAAGATTATATCTTCGAGAATTATAACCAGAAAAAAAAAATTATATTGCCCCATGTGGATGGGTATCAGGGTATGTAAATTGCAAAGCACTCGTATCAACAAATTAAAACATTTTTTTGATAATAGTCCCAAGTTTGAAATATGATATTATTTTTATTGTACCAACAAAGTATATGATCCAATCCACTCATCATTAATAAATTTAATTTATTTTTTTCAATAATTTACAAGTAAATATATAATAATGTTTTCTTTGCAATTCATAGTTAATTCTAAAGCTAAGGAAGATCATAAATTAAAAAATGTCATCTCGATAATTATTTTAATAAAAAAATCCAATGATATTATGTACAATGTGTTGTAATTATAGGATAGCTCACATGAGAACTTATTTCAAGAGAGAAAAATCTATAGAAAAATACTATAACGTTTTGATAATTTGAAATGCACTTTACAACACTGTCGAAGAAACTTCTGTTACCAATTAATTAAGCGGAGAAACTTCTCTTCATCTGTTTGCTTACTGCCCAAATGCTAGATCATGTTGGAATATATTGGGTGGGATTCGATGCAAATTAAAACTCCAACTGTACTTCTCTTGTTGAATGCGTGAATATAATCATGTATAGTTCCCCCTGAAATTAATTATACTTTATCATTGTCTGCAGCTCTTTGATCTATTTCTAATATCTAATTTCTTTTGGTGCAAATATTTTAAACAATGGTGCATTGCAGCAAAAGGATTTCTGGAAATCTGAGTTAAAAGAATTTAGTAGCAAGAATGGATATGATCTTAACATGAATGGAGACAGTGGCCCGTTACTTTTGGATGTTCTTGAAGGATTCTTGAAGTATGAGGTGCGGTATAATACTCTGTAGAATATTTTAAACCACGTAATAATCATTTCAATGGACTTCAAAACAAAAAAAAAAAAAAAAAACTTTTAATGTCAAAAAGCAATGCATTTTAGGTTTCAATAGCATTTTCTTAAAACACGGGAGCTTAATAGATGTGCAAGGAAAACAATAACATAAAGTGTAATGTTTATTGGTGTACTTTGCTTTGAGAGCCTTTTTGGGTTGTTGCCAACCAGAACATACTACCAGATCATCATCATCATCCTTTTCCCTTTCTAGCTAGTACCCACTCTTCTACCATACTATACAAATACACCTTTCTTTTCATTCAAAACCTATTGAGTAGTGAATCTCTGTATAGTAGCAAGAAGATCATCATTCTCACCTCCTTTTTTATGTGTTTTCTTTGATTCAATCATACCCATCATCCATGGCTACTGATGAATCTGCAGTTTCTTCTGTTCATCCCTTTGAGGTAACCTTCTTTACAATGTTTCCCCCTTCTCTTTGGTATATTTATATGTGCATACATATATACTTTACATATATATATATATATATATATATATATATATATATATATATATATATATATATATATATATATATAGAAGAGCGCTCATATGCAGCGGGGTCTTACGGTGCGGCGGTGCGATCAAATTCCAGAATACACCAACAGTGTTAACAATATGCACCAATAGTGTAATAAAAACACATCCCAATAAAATGTAATAAAACATCACAAAATACACCACAGACTCAAAAAAACACACCATATAACTCACCACCCCCAATGATGTATTTCCGAACAATGTATGGTGTTTTTACTCACACCTAATGGTGTGTGTTTGGTGATGCAGGGCTCTGTTTACTCTGTTTTGTATGGTGTATTTCCTAACGTTGATGGTGCATATTTGGTGAACTATTGGTGTTGCCGCACCGTAAGAAATAACCGCACCGTAAGACACTGCCACACCTGAACCCGCCTATATATATATATATATATATATATATATATATATATATATATATATATATATATATATATATATATATATATATATATCATCTGAACTGATGAGAATTTTGAGAAAGACCCTTTCTTCTGCTTCAACAGTTATGTGTTTTTGTTTTCTTTTCTTGAATATTTTTGGTTAGAGGTGGACACTAAACTTGGATATCAAAAGGGGGAAAAAAAAACTTTTTGAAGCTCTTGCTTGATATATAGTTAACAGATAGCAGCATAAAACATGTTGGTATTCATTGGGTACTTATTATAAATTTGTGAGTTAATTAAAGCAGATCATCATGTAAGTATTTTCCCTAAATACAATATATTATAATATATTGTATTATTGGGTGGTTGTGGTGCAAGTAGGAGATTGAGTCAATTAGTGACTTAATCTGTTATGCAACTCAGGATATTCAGTTAAGCTTTAACTGAATATCTGCCTATGTTGATGACATGTAGGCTTCTAAGCAAATAGTCCTCCCACAGCTCTCGAGTTCAGGACACGTACCATCACGTATTCGGGAGAGAAGTGGTAGACAAAACGACACTAACCTTTATTCTGCAGGTTTACCATCTCGTGGCAATACCAACGACTATGGCTGGGGATATTTGGGCGATCCTAAAGCTTCCGCTGTAACGAGGCAGGTTACTCGTTTACTACAGTTTGTGTTAGTCTTAACATTATTATCTAATATTTGGTATCAGAGCCCTAAAAATCTCTGCCTGGTTGATTAATCGGTAACAAATATATATTTTGAAAATATATTTGTTTTTGTTTTCTGGAAAAGCAACGAACTGTATAAATGTATAATTCCATGCAAAATTCCAGGCTTGCCTAAGCATATTACAGTACATAATTTTTTTTTTTCGGATATGTACTGCCAGTTTTGTTGTTTTTGGTTTGTCAGTACCGTGGACTCGCAATGGTCGTGACGGGGAAAAATGGCTAACGAGAGGCAAATCCGTTTCGGAATATTGGGCTGTGCCACCGTAGCGCGCAAGCTGGCCGGGGCTATATCGCTGGCTCCGAACGCCACCATCTCCACCGTGGCCAGCTGCACGGCGGAGAAGGCCGCAGCGTTTGCCGCAGAGACCGAGTGCTCCGCCACCGTGAAAATTTACGGCAGCTACGATGCCGTGCTGGATGATCCGGATGTGGACGCCGTTTACATCCCTCTCCCCACCAGCCTCCACGTGCGGTGGGCCGTCCTGGCGGGGCGGAAGAAGAAGCACGTCTTGGTGGAGAAGCCGGTGGCGCTGAAAGTGGCGGAGCTGGACCTGATTCTGTCGGCGTGTGAGTCTAGTGGGGTTCAGTACATGGATGGTACCGTGTGGATGCATCATCCTCGAACTGCAAAGATGAAAGACTTCCTCTCTGATCCTCTGCGCTTTGGCCAACTCAAATCCGGAAAGAGATGGCGGCGTCGGCGAATCACGAATTTCCAGCGGTTGTTGGCGTGCACAGAGGCGGAGGTGCGCTGGGTTCCCTGCTTCTTCGCGTCTTCTTCCCTGATTTTCCGGGCGATTCTTTGGAAGGTGACAGAGAGTTGCGATCTTCGCTGCTTCTTCGTTGGTTTTCCGACGATTCAGGGAGGAAGACGAAGGAGTCTACGGTACCTTCTCTATTTAAAGTGCAATTTCTTTTATTTACCATATTAATATTTAATTACATATTAATTTTGATAAATGGTAATTATATTAGGATTTATATTACCATATTAATATTATCTTAATTAATATTGTGAATTATATTGTTTAAGCAAATGGTAAATATTAGTAATTGTTTAATTTTGAAATAATAATGTCCTTTAGTTATTCTTTAATTTTGGCATTAAAAATTTCAAATTGAGTTCAGATTAATTGTGACATTATTTGTGATTGAATTATTGCCATTATAGAAATTCTTGTCACAATTAAATTATTATTCATTTGAGCAAAACATTAAGTTTTGACTTGCTATTTGAATTCTAATTTAATATTGAGAGTTGTATTAATGCCTTTTAGTTTTCTCTCAATTTTGGCATTATATTCACAATTAAATTATTATTCAATTTTGAGCAAATATTAAGTATTAAATTTGCTACTTGAATCTTAATTTAATATTGATGTGCATATTAAATTGCTTGAATTATTGCAATTTATTTAGTATTTATGAGTTAATAATATATTAATTTGTAAAAATCCAATCATGCTTTGTATATTCATAAATTATTTCATTATAATTGTACATTTAGAAAAGCATATATTAAGATTGGATATAGCATATTATTAATTCGTAGTCGTTATATTAAATGTCATTCAATTTTTGGATCCTTAGGTTAATTTTGGACAATATATCCTATTAAGACAGCTTGTTGGTTTCTCATTTAATTTGAGCATATTTTAGTCTTATTTTTCACTTGGGACTTTTAAAACCTATTTTGAACAAGCTATTTAGGACCTATATGGGTCGTTTAAGTATGGATTCCACCCCTTTGATTGGTATGTTAATAATAATTGTAGCACATTTTTTTTATTTTTCTTATAACATGTTTATTAAGTTTTAATTATTACTAACTACCGTATTTTGTTAACGGTATTTATCGTTGGTGATAATATAATGTTTGGATCTATTTCCATATTAGAGCATTTATCATTCATGTTATAATTAACTTGGGACATTAAAGTTCATGGGCCTGACTTAAGCAATTTTGTGCTATAATTATTATCATTGCGTGATTTTGAGTCATTAAGGGTTTAAGGATTACAATTACCATTTGAAGCTATTAAGAATTATAATTATTGTCTTGGCCATTAAGAATTATAACTGTTATTTAAGCTGATTATGTTTTAATCTATTAATAGTTTTAAGGGCCTTAACAATAATATTCTATTTTTTTAATGGTAAGCAATGTACATAGTTATGTTGCCTTTACATTTTTTTGGTAATTTGGTTATACCTTAATTTTAATCTCCGACTTATTACTGTATTGATTAATTATTATGTGGTAAATTGAGATTAGTATTTAGCATCCCTTAATTACAGTTTTACATTTATTGTGGTTATTGTTAATTTACATTAATGATTATTGTTATATTAAGTTGAGGGGCTAATCTCATTTATTACCTTTCATAATAATTATTAATTCATGGTAATCTACTATATTTAGTACATTGGTAAGATTACCCATGTCACTTCATTTTCTTACCAATAAACTGTTGCGTACCATTGGGCGATTCAATTAAACACTCCGTGAATATGGGAGATTTTGGAGATTTTTCTTCGCTATCGCTGTTAGTGCTATTGATAGATGCAGTTTGCATCATTAAGGTACGCAAATTATTAATTACAGTTTATTATTATTGGTAACTACTGTTATAGCTGTTAACCATTTTGAACTAGTCACATTTTATCCTTAAGAATATGGAAACATTAAGATATGTATGACCATGTTTGTCATTATAAATGTTAACAATGATCATAATGCTCCTTATTACTGTTAATATTTTAATTAATGATAACATTATTTTTATGTTATTAAGTCATGAATTGTTTCCAAATAGATTTATGTGGCATTTATTTTTCGGACTTAAGTTGTATTAAATTTTGAAGTCATATCCGAAATGATTTAAAGGTTAACAATTTTAACTATTGTTTTTTTTCATATTTAGTCTCCAAATTAACATAATAATATTGTTAATGGCTATTTATTGCCCTTTTGGTTTATTTGCAATTTTATGCCATTAATAATATTATTAATTGAGTTTTGGAGAGTGATTTTTTAATCAATTCAGAATTTTGGAAAAACATCTTTTCTAGGCATTATTATACATCTATCCCATAATTTATTTAGTATTTGAATTATGACTTTAGATGTTATTGCCCACATTTAGTTAAGTATGGAAAATTGAATACACATTTGATGTTTTTTCATACTTTTAGATTGTTTTATGCCTTTAATCACATTAAGTGCATAACATTAAGTTTAATTATGCATTAGGATTTGTGAGTTTTTTATTTACGAATAAACATATACTATGGCTTGATATTTGTGAATTCAGCCTGCTTCTCACAAATTTGATTTTATGCAATTAAAATATTTTCACGTGGGCTAGTTTTTAACCTTTCAAAGTATATATCTATTATATTATTATTCAAATTTTGGATTTCTTTTGGTTAGAAGTCATACTTGTTTTGAATATTAATTGTATACTTGAGGTTATTGCTCATATTAAAATTGTTTTCATTTATGCAATTTATTTAGAATATATGGGTTTAATGTTTGATTTTATGCATACTTGTCCACCGCATAATATATATATATATTTTTTTTAAATTATGCAATTTTACTATGCCTTTAGAAATGCATACTTTAGGATGGAATTATATTAGTTCCTTATTAAGTTGGACCTATGCATAAACTTTAGATGCGGTAGTGCCCGAATTTAAGCACGTTTAGTCCGCTAATTTAGTTCATCAATTTAAAGCCTTATCCATAAGTGAATCTACAATTGAATAGATCTCCCAAACGATTTTACTTCAAACATGAGAACACATGACTTAGGGAAGTTTCTTGGGGAGGAATACTAGTTCTATGGCCCTGGCTTAAAAGCCTTGTTGCTACTAGTCCCCTTGCGACGCTACTCTGTCTAAGGAGTTGGTATTTAACCGAGCTTCGTCTCGACCAACTTTCCTGGGAGTATACCTAATAATTGGCTATCATGTGTTGGTTTAATTCGTTTGTTAGGCTTTAACTTCCCCTTTGCCAAGTGATTACAATTTCTAGATTAATTAAAGAGTAGCCACAGCATCTTTAATTTACTAAAAATTGTCTAAAGTTCAAATCACATAAAGATGGCAATGATAAATGCCTAGTGGTCCTATAATTTTAATTAGTTGGGGAGTAGCCACGACATCCTTAATTAGTTAAAATTATATATTGAGTTGTTGGGTCACATAAAATTTGATAAATGTCTAGTGATCTTATAATTTTAATTAGTTGGGGAGTAGCCACAACATCCTTAATCAGTTAAAATTATATAATGAGATGTTAGGGTCATATAAAGTTTTAGACATATCAATTGTGATTAATTGTATGTAATATGATGGAATTTAGCCCACAGGCAATTTCGTTATATTTGTATGATTAATTAGGATGAAATACTGAACTATGATCATAATTTAGCCCACAGACAATTATGTATCGGAATGTAGTTTAGTAGGTTTATCAGTGATGATAGGAATAAAGATTCACCTCTATCATGAAGCTTAATTTTATGATGTAAACTTTAGGTCATATATCTTAATTTGCCCACAGGGATTAAGATAAGGAACATGATCTCTTAAGTTTTTTCGTCATAATGGTTGTAATGAATCTAATTGAATTAAAGCTTCAGCCTACAGGCAAGTTTTATGTCACTTGATTCTTCAACCTATTTGATAATTGTATGGTTGTAATGAATCTAATTGAATTGAAACTTTAGCCCACAGGCAAGTTTTATGTCACTTGATTCTTCAACTCATTTGCTACTTGTTTCATCATAAAATTTCAGTTGGATCTAATTGAGTAGAACTTTAGCCCACAGGCAAGTTTTATGTCACTAGATTCTTCTGACTATTTAGTAATTGAGATAAAATACTATCATAAGTGTTTAATTGAATTTAATAGAATTAAAACTTTAGCCCACAGGCAAGTTTTATGTCAATAAATTCATCAACCCATTAGATAATAACTTTATCCCAATTTCTTAGAATTTATAAATTTAGTTCAATTATAATTCTAAGTTTCATGGTTTGCATTGGCAAAACATGTATTTAGTCACTTTCCAAAATTTAGATACACCTTTTATTAATTATTTTTCACGAAGCTTACTTGGTTATTTGGACTAACTATAGTAAGTTGCGTGGTATGATATACCTCTTATGGATTCCAATAATAAAATATATCTTCTTAGCCGAATTCCAAGTTGGTTTTGGAAGGCGTATTTTATTATTTTAGTATGTCCAACTATGGTGGAGAATCATGTCCTCATTAATTATTCATTTAGTTGGACTATAATTAGAACCAAATATTGATTATTTAGTATGCCCAACTAATGGTGGAGAATTATATCTTCATTATTTAGTTGGTCAAATCAATTATGAGTGTTATATCATTAATTTGGCTAAAGAATATCTTAATCAGTGGGAGTGATCATTTAGAAAAGATCATTAAGATACTCCACTAAAGCTGATGGATTTAGTTGTTTTCATACATTCCAAATTGGATTGTGTGTCTAGCAATAAGTCCAAAAGTTTCCACAAGTATTAATTTAGTATTTTGTTCTTATAATTCATAAGTTCATTTCATTGAACGTTTGGTTGTACAACATATTTATGAAAATGTTGTAACAATATTAATGAATTTATTAGAACGAAAACATTTAACTTGTGGTGCACTGCCAATTAATAAATTCTTTAGCAATTAACAGAGTCTTTAGTTTCTTCAAAATTGATCCTGGGCCATTTTTGGTTTGTAAGGCTCAAAACAATTTTGTAAGACATAATAAGACTCGTAGTGTTCAATTAATTTCGAGGTGAACCTTGAGATTATTTGGGAAGTTGGTGTATGTTTAAGATTCCAAATTATTGACTTAGACCTTATGGTTTATGTCATTGGAATGTTTCTGTGACTTGACTATCTTTTGGGTTATCTTAATGAGTGGGAGTGACAGACGTGTCAACTCCAAGCTCTTAGCCGTTAGAGGTAGTGTTTATGTTAACTTATAAACAACTCATAGAATATAGTTAGCATTATGCTAATATTAAGAGATCTCTACTTAAGGCATGCTTCTAAGATTTCGGAGATCATACAGTGAATTTGGATGGTTTCTTCCTTCAGTTGTGCACATAATATATTTTGAGAAACATCCATTAAGGGACTAAGAATAAACGTAGGGTTTGTTCATAAAGAACCTAAGTTAGAGAATTTAAATGCATGTGATCATAGTAGATACTACTCACTTGATTAGTAGATGACGTATTACTATGGTTCTTGTATTTTGTTCTTTAATGAAGGTTGTGCCAGTACTTGCACCAAGTGGGAGAATGTAAGTATTTTCCCTAAATACAATATATTATAATATATTGTATTATTGGGTGGTTGTGGTGCAAGTAGGAGATTGAGTCAATTAGTGACTTAATCTGTTATGCAACTCAGGATATTCAGTTAAGCTTTAACTGAATATCTGCCTATGTTGATGGCATGTAGGCTTCTAAGCAAATAGTCCTCCCACAGCTCTCGAGTTCAGGACACGTACCATCACGTATTCGGGAGAGAAGTGGTAGACAAAACGACACTAACCTTTATTCTGCAGGTTTACCATCTCGTGGCAATACCAACGACTATGGCTGGGGATATTTGGACGATCCTAAAGCTTCCGCTGTAACGAGGCAGGTTACTCGTTTACTACAGTTTGTGTTAGTCTTAACATTATTATCTAACACATCAGGCCAGGTTATTCAAATTCAAATGATATAAATTTTGGTTAAAATCTTGATAAAGAAGCAAGCTGGGAAGGGAAAGCTAAGGCTTTTATTACTTATTTGATGAGTTTCATGCTTTAATTTCCACCTAATAATAGCTTTTAGCTGGCTGATGATAGAAAGATGAAATTTTGTATACTTTGAAAAAAGAAGGAAAGAACTAAAATGTCCAGTCCTGAAAAACATTTTATATATACTGTGCAAACATAGACTGCAACCTGCTTTTCCTGTAAGTGCACACATCTATTAATTGAAGTTGCATAGCTACATAAAAGACATATTATGCAGACCGTAATTTCCTTATTTCACTCGTTAACATTTGACGAGTGTTGCTCAGATGCTGTACGGAGTGCTTGACTGATCTAAGGGGCTGCTGCTGTTTAAACTGCACTATTGCCCCCCCCCCCCCCCCCCCCCCCCCCCGGCTTAGACCCGTGCTACTAGTACATCAAAGATACAAAAAGTGGCATCACTATCGTGACCTTGAAATGCAAAGTAGATGAAGTAATCTTTATGGTTATTGTTACCCTCATTTTGTAACTATCCTTTAATTATTGGTTGTAAATATTAAAAAAAAAAAACAGCTTACTATGCAATGTATTATTGTATTAAAGTATGAGGATTTTAAGTATTATTTTGTTCTGATGATAGTATTTGCATTATGTTAAAAGTATTGCGTTTAGTTTGATGAGTATGATGATAGTGTTGTTGATAGATAAATTGTATTGTGGAGTACTATTGATATGGATTTTAAGCTGTAACAGGTACAAGGATTATAAAAAAAATTTAGAGCTTTTAATTAAAATAAATTAAATATAAAAAAAAACAAAAAATAAGTCATCCGCGACCATTCCTAGATCAAAATGGTCGCGGATGACTTATTAATAAAAAATAAAAAAAGAATACGCGACCGTTTCTAGGATCAAATGGTCGCGTATTAACTTAGAATTAAAAAAAAGTACAATACGCGACCATTCTTGGTCAAGAATGGTCGCGTATTACCGACAATGCGCGACCATTTCAAAATGGTCGCGTAAAGTCGATGCCTTTCCGCGAGCCTCTCATAGGCGACCATTGTACAATGGTCGCCTATTGTCTATTACAATGGTTGCCTATCTGCAATTCTGTACTAGTGTATCAATGTGCCAGGGTTGATGCTAATAACTTTGAAATCAAACCATCTATTATTCAGATGGCTGCTTCAGATTCTTTTGGTGGGTCACCAACAGAAGACCCTAATGCTCACATTGCAAAATTTCTGATCGAGGATCTGCAGCACTTTCAAAATTAATGAAGTCCTGAGTGAGGCTATTAAGCTTCGCCTCTTTCCTTTCACTGTAAGAGATAAAGCTAGCAGTTGGCTTGCCTCTTATCCGGTGAACCATTTTGCAAATTGGAATCAGTTGCACAGAGAGTTTCTTAAGAGATTTTATCCCATATCCAAGACTCAGAAAATGAGGAGATCAATTCAGAATTTCAGACAGTTGGGTGGTAAGTCTTTGGCAAAGTCATGGGAGAGTTTCAAAGAGATGAGGAGACAATGCCCTCATCATGGTATTCAGAGTTGGGACTTAATGATGGCTTTCTATGAGGAATTATTGGATAATTCAAAAATCCTAGTTGATGCTTCATCGGGGGGATCATTTACAGTCCTAGAGCCAAATCAAGCTGAAGAACTATTGGAAAAGGTTGCGATGAATGGAACAACTTGGTACTCAGAGTGATCTTCCTAGAAATTGGTGGGAGGTGTGAATGATGTTGATCAAATATCAGCTCTATCGGCTAAGTTTGATAATGTGGCTACTTTAGTTCAACAGTTGGCTCAGATTGCTATCAAGAATCAAACTCCAGGTAATGTTTCTACATCTTCTACTCCTCCAACACCTATAATGATGTGTGAGCTTTGTGGAAGAGAGCACAATTCAGAGGAGTGTCTTGGTGTAGATTCTCAAGCCACAATGGAACAAGTTGATGTGATAGGGTATGGTAGGATACAACCGGCATTCCAACAACAAGGAACCTATAACCCAAATGCACAAAGGAACCATCCTGGTTTCTCTTGGAGTAATCCATCTGGGGAAACTAATCCCCAACACTTGAGTAATAGAGTTCAACCACCAGGATTTCAGGGACAGCAAAATTTTAGAGGGGGTCCTCCGCAACAGTTCAGGCAAAACTAAGGATATCAAGCTCCAGTAAATCAACCTAAGCCTAATGTGGAAGCACCGGCCTCGTCAAATGTGGAAGCATTGTTGGAAAAGTTTCTTAAAGGTCATGTACAACTTACAGAGAGGACAGATCAGATAAGTGCTCACCAAAAGATGTTAGAAAATCAGTTAGCAAATCAAGCTTCTACATCGAGTACTAAAGTCACAGGTAAGTTGCCTGCTTCCACCGAAATCCAAGAGAGCACATGAATGCCATAACTACTAGGAGTGGAAAGCAAATACTGGATCCACCGTATCCCAACAGTGAGCAAACTGTCAACAGGAATCTGGGAGGTGAGAATGAGAAAGTAAATGAAGATGTTGTTGCCCAAGACAAGGAAGATGAGATACAAGAAATTGAGCTCGTGAAGAAGCATACACAACCTCTACCCTTCCCACAAAAATTCAAGAAATCTAGGGAAGAGGAGAGAAGAGCAAAATTTTTCAGTTTGATCAAGCAACTGGATATCTCCATTCCTTTGCTAGATGCAATCACCGAGATCCCTTCGTATGCTAAGTTTTTGAAAGAGATTTTATCCAACAAGAGGAGAGCTGAAGATTGTGAGACAGTAGCAGTAAGTGAAGAATGTAGTGCTTTAATTCAAAACAAACAAACTAGCGGTAATTATTATTAGTATTATTAATTGGTAATTTGTTCCCCTTTTTTTATTGTTTGGGCGAGAAAGTAAGAAATGATGATTGTGTTTTTAATTAGTATAGATTTTTGGTGAATTAAGGATCCTTTTTCATTTTCCTATTTTACTGCTAACTTTTTTTAATGATTATTATTAGTATTAATTAATCAGTAAATTTTGTTTTCTTTTCTATTTTTCGTGAATTAAGAATCTTTTTTATTTTTCAATTTCTAGTAGGATTTTTTTTTTTTTTACTGTCATCCTTATTTTGGCCTTTTTTTTTTCTTCACAATTTTCCGTTTCTTTTTACCATTTTCATTGAATTAAGACTCTTTTATTATTTTCCTATTTTACTGATTATTATTATTATTAGTAATAATCAGTAAAATCCATTTATATTTCTATTTTTAGTGAATTAAGGATCTTTTTTTATTTTCCTATTTTACCACAAAATTTTTTACTGATTATTGTTAGTATTAATTAATCAATGAATTCCATTTCTTTTTCTATTTTTTGTGAATTAAGGATTTTTTTTTTCTATTTTACTACTAACGTTTTTACTAATCATTATTAGTATTATTAATTGGTAATTTTTTTTCCCTTTTTTATTGTTTGGGTGGGAAAGTAAGAAAGGAGAATTTTGTCTTTAATAATAGTATAGATTTATATATATTGATAGATTTATACTTTTAAATTTACATTTAAAATTTTAAAATTTAGCATTTAAATTTTGTATGATTAGTATAGTGCATAAGTGTATGTATATATGTATTTAACATTTTTTATAAATGTTTATATTTTTTTAATTTTATAATTTCATTTCTTTAATTATATTTCATATTTAAGTAATTATAATTTAAACAAATTGCCACAAATATTTTCACGGAAGAAATCTTATATTTTTCTCAATTTTATTAATTATATTTACCAAATATTGTGACAATTACCATAATAATTTCATTAATTATATTAATTATAATATTTGTTCTCTTTCAATATTTAAATACATTACCACAGTAATTACACGAAAGAAGGAAAGAAAAATTAGTAGAATAATTACCATTAATAAAAATTATGAAATTATATTAAAAATTAATTATATATTAAGGTAATAATAATTTAGTTTGTGCCAATAATATTATATATTATGTGTAAAAATAAATATGTATATACATTACCATAATTATTACACCGAAAAAGGTAACAATACATAATTATTAGGCAATAATATTAATAATTAATTATTAAGGCAAGTATAATTTATTTTGTACTAATAATATTATACATTAACTGTATACACACACACACATTAAGTTTATATTATATTAATTATAATATTTGTACATTTTGTACTAATAATATTATACATTATTTGTTAGTTTAGATCCGTGACTTAGTCCTCGATCTCTATCCTTAACTTCTGTGTTTTTGGTGTTGAAATCAGGGTTCTGTTTCGTTTTTTCATATACATCTTGTAATTATCTCAGAGGTATAAAGAGAAAAAAAAAGAATCACTTCCCGATTCGGCAAAGCGCTTCGTTGCCTGCGAGGAGAAGAAGAGTTTGATTTCTGATAAGAAAAACACTGGCCCTTCCTTGCTGTCGAAAAATTAAAAAATCAACTTTGTAGTCAATGTTACCAGGGTCTCCATCAACGCCCAATCCATTGGATCCAGCGGCACTAAAAACGTTTCAAGCTACAATTGCAAAATAATAATAATAATAATAATAATAATAATAATAATAATAATAATAATAATAATAATAATAATAATAATAACAATAATAATAATAATAATCTTGAAAAGTGTAAAAAAAATTACTTACATTTTCATGAGTGGAACACCAAGATATGATTTCACATAGAGAACAGGAAGAAGAGGGAAACCGTGCAAAATAAAAAATTATGATTTCCAAACTCACCAATCCATTGTATTTATATTATAGGTAGAAAATATGAGAACAAACTTGTATAATTTCTCAAAAAGGAAAGGTGTAATTATGTAATATTACCAATTAATAAATTTTAATACATTTCCATTTTACATTTGCTTACCAAATAATAATATTTTTGCTAACTAATAATATGTAAAATATTTTTTATTCATACAATATTATAGACGTGTTCATAAGCCATATGTAAAGTATTTTGTATTCATAATATGTAAAGTATTTTTTATTCATAATAATATAGACATGTGTTCATAAATTTGTGAACTTTGTATGAATTTGTAATTTGTGCATAACACAATAATTTGCCAGGCTTTCTTTATTGAATGGATTGATCCTTTTCAAGTTCTTGGGTGTGGTAGGTTTTTATTGCATTTTTTCTTTATTTCGGTGGAATGAATGATTTTATAAAATGTAAATTTAAACAAATTTGTAAAGATTTAGTTTGTATGGCTTTGAATAAATAGTGATGTAAGCTAATAATTAGTGATATAGCAAATTGATTTGTATATGTACGTGATTTCTCAAATTGATTTGTTTATGTACGTGATTTCTTTCTTTAATTAATTGCTTTCTTTAATTAATAATTAATTGCTTTCTTTAATTAATTGAATTTGGGTATTATACAAATGTCCCTAAGTTTTGGGGGGAAAACTTGCTAGGAGAATTTTACTTTTATATAAACTAGTATTTGCACCCGTGCGATGCACGGAATGAATTTGTTGTAATATATTAAGAATATATGTATCGATATATAATTATTTAAGTTAGAACATCAAATATTATATAATGCAATTAAAGATATGATTTGAATCGTTTATATATGTTTATGTTATCATTGCTTGAATTTGTGCAAATAATTGCTTAAATTAATAGCTAATGTCTAGATGTACGGATGCGGTCATATAATTTTGAAGATTTTATTTATCATTGTTTAGTATTTTCATACATTAGGCAAATGTGCTCGTTCTCTAACAACTCAGTTATAGAAATGAATTGTTATCCTTATTCATTTATATGGAAGATATATTTTTTTTGTCTAGATATATAGCAATTTTTTCATTTAAAAAAAAAATTAATATCACCGATTATATTAACACATTATTGAAACCTCTTTGTAGACGACATTGGTAGTGACAACACAATCTTGTTCATCTTCGTCTAGAGCTAACATCTTCTCCATCAGGACGGGTTACTTGGGTGAAAATATATAATGGTAGAATATCACTCAATTAGTTATCCTTTTATATTTTCAGTCAATTCGTAATATCAGATTCATCTTCAGCCAATTATTCTTTTTTATTTTCAATCAATTAGTCAATTAGAATATCAAATGCAGTGATTTTTTTACCTAACTTTCGTTCCATTTTTTATTGATGATGTAGATATTATTATTGAAATATTTTCGTTCAATATTTAATTTACCTTTACTATTGTTTAAAATATGCATTTACTATTGATAATGTAGAATATTATTATTGGAATATTTTCCTCCAATTT